GCAAGCTGCTCACAGCGTCATTCACGTACTGCCTTTGAGTTTTTAATTCCTTGCAGACGAAAGATTTTATCTCATTTATGAAATGGACTAGCAGTTTATTAACGTTAGCTATACCTTCCCTGTTTTCGTCTAACTGCGCCTGTATTTGCTGTGTTATTTGGTCGTGGTTATTTACTGTCGTGCTTGGGGTAGGGGTGGTTGTACTTGCGTACGCCAACCTTTCCTCAACTTCAGTCGGCGCCGCGCTGCCCCCCGAAAGGGCGGGTTTTATTGACTGTCGATATGTCGTTTTCCGACTACATCCTCCAGCTATTCCTGTCGGGTCTTGTGGTCGTAGTTTAGCCTCTAGTCGTCTCTCTAATGAAGATATTGCTGCCTGTAAGTTATCTCGCTCTTCGACCATTTTTTTTTGGCTGTTTGACCTCTTGAGTCAATCTCTTATTTTCTTTCAATATTTTCTTATATTTTGGATTTTCTGTTATAAGAGTATTGGAAGACACCGCCCCCGCAAAGCTTACCTGATTTATGTTTGTCCGGCCGGCGGCTAAGGCGTCTTGTGATTCCTGGCAGGAACCCATCTCGGCCGGAGGTCCGCGATGCTTTCGTTGGTTCTTGAAGCTGGATTTCCCAGGGTCCGGAGGTGCCGTGTTAGTGTGATGTTGTCAATCACTCCTTGAACAAGATCTCGACCTTGACTGGGATCTCGATTGGGATCGTGAACTGGACCTTGACTGGCGCTGTTCTTGCCGGTCCGAGCTGAACCATCGAGGCATGTCCAGCCTTAGTGGAGGGAATTCTTCGGACGACTTGGCATCGCCGGTACATTCAGGTTCGCCTACCCAGTCTTTTGGCTGATCTGTCTACAATTTCTTGGGAGGAGCGACGTTCTTAAGCTTTTTCTTGCACAGACTATCTCCTGTGGGGTGTTCACTGTCACAGATGACGCGCTTGGGGATGCAGTCCTGTCCTTGCATTGGTTCTCTTGCCCCGCACTTGAGGCATACATTGACATTTGGAGTTGGACAGACGTCCGTATGGTGTCCGGTTTGGAGGCATATCTTGCACACCTGTACTGTTGGCTTGTATGGGTAGCATATTAACTCGGCACCCATTATGTATACGCTCCTCGGCAGCACATTGCCCATGAATGTGATAATCGCCGTTTTAGACGAGCCCAACATTCTTGCTCTCTCAATAGTCACCCCTTGAGTCCGAACACGTAGGTTCTCCATTAGTTCATCTTGCGAAGTCCCGGCCGGTATTCCATGTACAATTCCCTGCAAGACGCCTTCGGGGTCGGCCACGTATCCATTGAAAGCAGGGATTTGTCCCCTGATCTTTAGTTGACTGATACCTCGCAGCCTACTCGCTACCTCCATGCTTGGCATAGATAGAATTACAATGTTCGATCCTGGGTGAACCCGCAACAGAAAGTCATTGCGATTGAAACTTAGTTGGCAGGCATCTATCACAGCCCTGGAGAGTTCCAGTCCCAATATTTTTTTAACCCAGAGACCCTTATGCGGCCTCAGAATAATCTTGATGTCCTCTTTTGGTAGAGAAGGAGGGCCTCGTCGCTTTTTTCGTCGGAAATCATGCGTGGCTTCAGGTTTTTGTTTTTCGGCGAGCGGATCGCTTTCAAATTTCTCGTTCGCGTTCACAGCCTTCTCCACGTGGGATTGCTGCTTTTTAAACTGGTTTTTCTTTTACTTGCGCGATAAAACGGTATGCCAGGCATCCTCAGTCTATCCACGGCGTTCCGAACAAGTCGCGTCGCCAGTCTCGTTTCCAAGAGTCGCATCAACAGACGCTGGTTCGTCATCCTTTGCCTGCCGAGACAAGACGCCGCTCGCGTCTGTGTCAGCGGTAAGTGATTACGGTGCCCGAGAAGGGCCGGGATAAGCTTCGCCAACTTCCATATGGTGAGAAAAAGCGATCAGCCCTGACCAGGCATACTTAGCAGAACAAAGGAAAAGTGACCGCCGCTCCTGCCAAGTTAGTCGGAGCGCTTAGGCTGACAAAGCTTTCCCGCCGGAATTTTGTCGTGTCACAAAACAGGTCAAGAAAGTGAGTTAAACATCGCTCACCTTCGATCCTTGTCCCTTGGCAGCAAAGCAAGTGTCCAAAGTTCACTGTCTGCTAGTCCGTGCTCCCACAAACACACAACACCGTCGTGTTCCGCACGTCGAAGTGCCTTCCGCGACGCCGGCTGTGGTCGTTTAAGGTGAGCGTCTCCACAAGGTCATCCAATCTGCCTGCGATTGTTTCTTCCCGTAAAGTTGATCCTGGCCCAAGCTTTGGGTACCCGTGGAATCAGGAGAACTTCATGAAGGAGACTATAAGTTTGCTAGATGAGTTTGCGCGAAATTGCTCTTAGAAAAGCTTCGAGAAAGCGGAGCGCAGTGTGAACATGTCTTCACAGCTTGGCGCCTCCTGGCGGTCCACTACACAGAAATTATGATTATTTATGGCATAGTGTGTACCTAGCAAGTGTGCTTCTAGCATTTACCCAAAGAGTGTTTAGAAAGGGCTCCGAGAGGCCACTCTTCCTGCTTTCGCTGGGACTGTGCTGCGCGTTCTGTGCAGGCCTGGCGTTTTTAAAGGCGATGGTCTTTCTGGGGACCTTCGACGCAAAAATGTTTGTCTGCCTGTACAATTGTCTGTTTGTCCGCCCTTAACGGCACCCAAAGAGGAACCAAAGTGCCCAAACGATACTCCAAACAAATGACCCCATCCACAGCGCCCACCAATATTGCTCAAGATTCAGTGTTCACACTTGTGCGATTGTCAAACAAAAAGCAATTATTGCGCATATCTGAGGCACCATAACAACATGTCAATATTCTCTATGTGTTTCTCTTACTAGAAAAGGCATACATAAGTACTTCTAAGGACCGTAGCGTTTATCACGTTGTGCTGACCATGCAGCGCTTGCACGAAAAGGCAAGTGTTTCCAACGCTTTGCTAAGAGGACGCAGTAGTGACACCTACCTGTCGCCTTACGTTCTACACCTTATCACCTCTGAGACTGGTGCGAAAGGTACTCGCGCTTCGTTTTCCAAAATAACTGTCAGATCATGGTTATGTCTCACGTGTGACGTGACTTGATGCGCTCGTTCGCCTCCGCTGCATGCTCAAGGCACTCTAACGCAGCGCCTCCAGAAAACCATTCACCGATTTTCTTGCGCAGAACATCAAATAAACCGTTTTGTTCCTTGTCTCCAGACACAAGGCTATCATTTTTCGATGACATTTGCAGTGAAGCATGCAGATACGGGGCCAATTATTTATTATTACTTTCATCCTCTCACCAGCAGAACACACTAAAATGCTTAAAAAAAATCACAGCTTCACCACAAGGGCAAATCAATAAATTGCGACAAAATCATATTGCAATAATGAACGAGGTAAAGCTAGCAGCTTTAGGAGCATCATGAACTGCAGGAAACACGAGCGTGCTAAGGAAGCAGGTGTGCTGCGGTGTGGCACGACCCATACAGAGAGAGCGAGAGATAGGGACTCGATGACCACAACAAGCCACATGTAGAATAGTGGTGATTACGAGTGGCTACCATGGGCAGATAATTTTAGGGCGTAAAGCACAACATACATACACAGACACACACGAAGCCTTACAGCAACAACGCAAATATGCCTGGAGTGTCCACATCATTATTTCATTTATCTCATTTATTTATTGCATCAAATATACATACAGTACATTGGTAGAATATATTTACAGCCACGGGTTAATGGGTGGAATCAAAGTGGGATTACAATTTGGCGCGGAATGATGTGCGGTCAGGTGTGGCAACAATGGTATCGGGAAGGTGATTCCAAAGTGTTATTGCTTGGGGGAAAAAGGAGTCGTTCATTGCGGATGTACGGGCCGTTGATTCGTGCAATGGGGTTTGAATGGTTGATGCGGGAAGAAGTTCTGTTTGGGGGCTGTAAAAGTTCGTGTCTTGATTGGGGTCGGAAAAAGAAACTGTGGAGGAGGCATAGGCGCTTATCTTAATACAAAGATGAGCCCTCTTTTATCAAATTTGATTTTAGATGCTACTTATGACAGCTCGATGATTATGGCGTTCTGCTGCTGTGCTGTGCTTTTATAACCCAGTTAAGAATTAGAATGCAAATTGCTAATCTCTTTAGGTCTAGATGCCTTTTTGGAAACTATGTTTAGAACAGTTTTACGGGCACAATAATGGCATGACGCGAGTTGGATTGCAAAGGTTGTAAACAAAAATGGAATGGCCAAAATGCCGTCATGACCACAAGCAAATACTGCCTTCGTTGTTTGAGTTAGCAGACAACTTAGTTTACTGTGTTGGAGTCAAGAAGCTAGTTAAATATACAGATTATGATTACTCAAGTTAGCAAAAAAAAAAAAATAATTGCCTTAAGAGTGTCATGGCAACACTTGGTACTAGGTGCTGTGATGGCTTTGGCTATAGGATTGCGCTTCAAAACACAAGAGGATTGAATCCATCTCAGGCCATATTAGCTGCATTTTGAAGGGGGAATGACAAAATAACTCTGGTGTGTTTAGATTTGAGTGAACAAGAACGTCTGGTTGTCATAATTAACCTGGCATCAGCCACTACGACATGACTCATTATATTGTAGTTTTGATGCATTAAGTGCTGATGCAATTTGAAGACATTACAAAAGAAGCATTCTTTTTTTTTTTTGGTAAGCAGTGTTACTGCTCTCCACGTGCTGGAGTCGGACAATACGCACAGCAGGCAGATTGTTATGTCACGGATCGCAATTGCGTTAGTGTTGCTGACAAGTTGCTTGCATGTTTATAAAGATATTTAATTATGAATTGACTGCATTACCAAATGCACCAAAATTTTACCAGCTTGCTCGTGAATACACAAGGATTAACTCGGATAACATAGATTATGTTAAAAAAATTGGGTGTCGTTGTCCTGTTAACATGATGCCGTGTTTTCCTTACGTGCTCTAAACTACACTGTCACTTCCTTGTGCAGGCAAAGCACTGATGCACCACATCTGTGACATGATTCCAAGACTGAAGACTCGAACCCAGCGGCAGGGCGGTGCCGACCAGCAAGCACAGGGCGGTGCCAATGCCTCCAAAAAGGGAGGCAAAGGAGGCAAGGGTGGCAAAGGAAAGCGCTGAGTCCCACACACTCGTCGGATTCCAAGATGTGCACCGTTTCAGTGCATTGAGACTTTGACCTTTCCAGGGTGCTCCTGTTGCCTTGTACTATAAAGATCTTTTCCATTCCGAGTTTTGTCCATTCCTATGTCCGACACATTCGTGGTTATCATTCAATCGCATGGCTTAGTGCCAGTATTTTTTAAATGCGCCTAACAGTTTGAAAAGACGTGTAAAACTAAAAATTGCAATACTCCACACGTTTCATTTCTGAAGAGCTGTCATGCTTGATTGTCACGAATGACAGCATATCGTGGCCTTGCATAGGCTTATAAGTAACAGAGGCAAAAAAAAATAAAATAAAGACCCTTATGAATAATCAATTATGGTGACATTCCTCTTTGTATTGTCGAGAAGAAAATTGGGAACATGTAATGATAATCCTGTAGCAAGTTCTTAATTAGTTTAATAAGCTATGTCCACACGCTCAACAATGCTCTACAAAAACAAAATGAGAACGTCACACATACATATGCTGTGAAAAGCTTGGTCACAACCTATATGTGTAAATTACACAAGCACCAACAATGCCGTAGTTGAGACACGAGTTGCCCTGCATGATGGCAGTGATTTTTAGGCTGCATATAAATGTGCTGACTGCTCGTGACACCACGCTTTATGTCTGGTGGCTGAGCATAGCCAGACGAGCGACCAGTGTGCGAAAGAATTCCTGAAATGAAGTTTGAACAGATGGCCAGCAGGAACCGTCCATCCGAAAACAGAAATTGCAGATGTAGTCTTTAAATTCATTAGTAGAAAAACATCGTTCGGATCTACCAGTCATTGACCCTCCGTGGTCTGTTGTTTACCCCCTCCTAAATACGCAACTTGGCCACAACGATCGGTGGTCGGGCACTGGTTGACAATTGTGGTTCATCCGTGCACGTTTTCTCACTACATTGCATGCCATCGCTAAAAGAGGAAACTTAAGTTTTTTCCTTGAGTTTTGCTTTCTTCAGTTTTGGACTGGAACGGACGAAAAGTTGATAACAGTTTTAGATTGTACATGGAATAGCGGAACAGTGAACACGGCACAAAAAATTGGGCAGAATTACTGCAGACTGACTGGTGGCACAAATTCCTGTGAAAACAAAAAGTAGCACCACAAAGTTCTGCAAACAAAACACCAATAGAAGTAAGAACCATTATGCTTGCATAAGACTCAAGTTTTGAATGATTGGTTGATATGTGGGGCTTAACGTCTGAAAACCACCATATAATTATGAGAGACGCCGTAGTCCTAGGAGGGCTGCAGAACTTTCGACCACCTGGGGTTCTTTAACGTGCACTCAAATCTAAGAACACAGGCCTACAGCATTTCCACCTTCATCGAAAATGCAGCCACTGCAGCCATGATTCGATCCCGCGACCTGCGGGTCAGCAGCCGAGTACCTTGTCCACTAGACCACCGCGGTGGGGCACTCAAGTTTTGCAGAGGAATGAATGTTGCTAGAAATGCAAGTGTTTGATTTCCATAGCCAGCATTCATTGAACATTGCTCTCAACAGCTAGCCATCCTTCAAATCCTGTGGACAGGGAACGTTACTCATTGAATATTAATTCGTATTCTTTTATCAGCTGCACCATACTCAAAATAAGCTAGGTAAACAATTAGTGTTTCTACAGAAGTTGTGCCATGGATATGCGGTAAAGACTTGTGGACTTTCCCCCATAGACGTCTGACAAAATCATATGAAGCATCTTTTTGGCGAATCTAGAAAATGGTCAACCACACAAATTCACCGTTGGTCCTTGATGTAGCAGGCAGGGATGCATTGAACTAAATAAATCGAGTGTTTCTTGGCAATACAAGCAAGTACTCGTCAAATGCAACAGGTATTTGTGTGTCCAATGTACTTCGGTTAAATCTAGTTCAACTTTACAGCACTACTTTAGTGTTAATACTATGTCCGTAAATAAATCTACTTTAGGTAAATAAGTCATGCTAATGGCAATAGTTACAGGAGACCATGTTCGCATCTTTAAAATTTTGTGCTAGGACCTAGGAGCTCTTGCATCAGTGTAAGGTAAATGGTTCGTAAAGTTTAGTGCTTTCGGTTAAAACCCAATGAGGCTTATCTAAAAGATTTTACTGAACCGGTGTGTGAAACGATTCATAAGCTCAGTCATCTCTTTTAAAACCCATTGTGGTTAATTTTTGCCTCTGAAAGATTTCTCTGGATCAGAGCATGCAGTAAAAATCCTCCCCGGGACAAGCTGGGTAATAAGTTTCAAGGTGTCGCCAACTTTCCCTCCCGACCTCCTTTTTTTGTCTTGCATACTTCTAGAGAGACATTTTGATATAGAAGAAGGGTAATTTACAAGCACAGTTAGGGGTAAACTTAACGCTGATTCTCACTGTGATCACCAGCAGCCGAAAATCCTATTCCTTGAAAAATTCTATGCCTAGGACCATTTTTGCTATTGTGTACATGCAAGGAATAACATACACACTGGCAATTGGTCTGCTCGTATTGGCTTGCAGACATAAAGCACAAATTTTACAATAACAGTTAACGACATTGCCAGCATACTGAACATATATATACACTGAAACCTCGTTATAACAAAGTTGCATCTTGCACAAAAATGGGTTTGTTATAACCAAAAATTAGTTACAAAGGTATATTTCTAACATCATACCTACTGCAAAAGTATTCATTTGCTATTTCATAACAGATATTTCGTTTTATCCAGCTTCAATACATTGAGGTGCGAGTGCATATAAATTAAATTCCGGGGTTTCACATGCTCAAACCCCGATGTTATTATTAGGTACGCTGTGCTGAGGAACTTCACGAGTTTTAATCACCTGCTGTTCTTTAAAGCAACACTGAAGGCAACTAATAAGTCGACATTGATTATTGAAATGGCAGTCCAGAAACCTCATAGCATTACTGTTGTGCCAAAGAAGGGCCTATTTTGAAATAAAGTCACCTTTTAGTGGTTTGAATCGAGTTAGCGCACTTCTAATTACCCCTCTCAAGAAGCGGACCGACCGGACTGACTCACGTTACTGTAGCCGTGCTCAACGTTGCCCGACTTTACTGCACTAGTAGTAGCAGACCGAAAGCAGCGGGAGCCACAGCGGCAACAGCGGCCTTTGATCAATTTCCCGCCATAGACTCCAAGATTGCAGAAGTTTTTATTTCAACTGTGCCGCGCTAGACGGCACCACCTGTGTAGTATAACCACGCGAAAATTGAATTTTCGAACCACTCGCACCATTCCCTATAGTAACGTCCGATGGTTCTTTTTTCCATGAATCAAACAGAAACGAACAAGCAGCTTTTTTATTGCGTCTCTTGATGGATGGAAGGTTATTTATTTAGTGTAGCTAGATCGATTACTAGTGCTTAATTGTACGCGGTTCGTCAGATGTCATAGGGATCAATCTGAGAATGTCCTACTGCGGTGCATGTCTTTTGGTGCACTTACCTTAATTTCTCGGTAAGTAGGGCACTGCTGTTGACAATATTGTCGTTTTAGATGTCATACATTTAGCTTTTACTTTGATGTAAATTGTTATTTGACTTTAGTGTCCCTTTATTGTGAACATAAATCTAAGTGGATATATGTTTTCGCCTTACACCTATGTTGGAATGCAACTGCCGTGCGTGGAAACTGAAACTTTTAACCACTATAATCGTCTTGGCTACTGCAGTGGCACAGCAGGTGTGGAAAATCGTACTTGAATAGATTTAACTAGGCTAAACCGAATTATCCTTAATGTGGAGCTATATTGAAACACGACAATGCTTCGAAGTAAACTCATATGAAAATTCCAGCTTCATGGAAGAAAATAGCTGGAACACTTGATATATTGAACGTCTGGCAGCAAGAAATGCCCCAAGAAAATGCTTTCCCTCAACAGCTGGCTTTTCCTCGCAAAACATGCTTTTCTAGCATTCATTTGGGAGAGCAAGTGATGCGATTAGGAATGTGCCACACTGAGAGAGTAGAAACTATGGTTTTCTACTCTCTCTCGTTATTCCTTGTTCCTCGCAAGTTCAGCATTGCGTATGCCACTTCATTTGTCCTTTCTGTTTAGCGATGTTTTATATTTTTCATGCTTTCATTGTCAACTAGCCTGTTTGTTCGTAATGTGCAGTCGCTCTTTGTTTCTCCATGATTTTCCTCTTTTTTTATAATGTGATGGCTGCTGTGAAATTGAAGACCTGCTTTTTGTTGTAAGCCTGGCATTAATTAAATCAGTTAAATGTGGATAAAAGAAGTGTAACGTCAGCACTGCGCAGCATCACAAGTGGCACGGTGAACACGATTTTGAAGAATCAGGCTGTGATCATCAGGGCCACTTTGGACTAGGGACTTCAGGCTCACAACATGCAAAGCACTGCATGAAGATGCTGAAGTACTGTTTAAAGCAATATCATACTTTCTTGTGCAAAACTCACGCCTGCATATAGCCCACATCCCAACTACAAGCTGCGGCAGTTAAAAAAATAGACCTCCCCCACACAGATTGTCATGATACTGCCTCCCGTGCATTATTATGAAGCAGTGCCGATTTGTACACCGAAATATGCACTGAAAATATAGCACAGTAAAAGCTCGTTAATTCTACTTCAGTTAATACAAAAAACAAAATAATTCAGACGTGTTCTATGGTCCGAGTCAGCATATAAACTATTGAATTATGTAAAATCTCATTCAGTAATTTTTGGCTGCAACTTGGTTATTTTGGAAAATCCTGGGAGTGAAGAGAGCGCCGCGAATGTAAGCCCAAAAGAGCAAAAATGAGGTTTGCAGCCAACCGCAATGCAGCGGAACAGTCCGTATTGCCATAGACATCATTGCAAACTGTACAGTAGTAGTAACTGGAAAGTCAAAACACCAAATGTATATTTGCGTTTACCACTCCATGTGACAGCTCGTTGGCCTAGGCATCCAAAAAGCATGGTCACCATCCACAATCCTGTTCTTGGCAACCAGGGCTAAAGGCGGCTGCAGCAATTTTTGTTTGTTTACTGGAGGAAAAAAAAAAAAATTGTCACGTGCTCCTAGTGGCGGCTGTAGTGATCTGTAATAAGGTATGAATGCACAGCACCTCCGGGCTGATTTAGATAATGGGGCCTTGCACCACGGCAGCATTGTGAAAAAAGTCGCAAGATGTTGAAAATTGCGGCTTTTATGTTGCCCTTATACAAAGTACGTACAGCATTGACATATTCACCAAGAAAATGAGTGCTTATGTAATAGACATTTGCTTATTGTTTTTTTTTTTATATTTCGATGACTCCGACATTTTTCCTTGTCCCGCAAGATCCGCATTGAGTTATGAGCTTTTGCTATTACCTTTTTAAAAGGTTCGTATTTTGTTACATGATATCCAGAACTGATTACTATTTTCCCGAGAGTTTAATATATGCGGGACCAACTGTATGTTCAATGGACTTAAAGTTGATTGATCACTGTGCGTACAAACTTGAACCTTAACATCAAGTCAGAGTTTGGATCCTTGTCAGCCTCCAGGTTTACAGAAGAAGAAAACAATGTTGAAGAAACAATTGGAGATGTCTATAAACACTACGTAAGACAACAGTTGCAGATGTGAATGGAACAGCATTGCTGAAATGCTCATAAAATGACAAGCAAAGCGTCTATAAATTTGAAAGCCAGGGTGACAAAGAAAAGTGGATTTTTTTTTATTACACGGCAGCTTTTGTGAACATAAACCATGTCACTCGTAGCCCCTGGAATAGAAAAGAAAAAGGTATAAGTATGTGCGTGCAGCGTGTTACCATTATGTCACCATGGGCACAAATGAAAACATTTTGCAGCTTGTGGCAGTGGAGTAAGAAATGCCAAAGTCACGAAGCAAGAAAGACAGGAGGGGAAATTCCGAGTCGGCGCCAGCGCGAGTGCGCACAGCGAACCTTGCGGCAACGCACAGAACTATTCGTTTTTGCGCTGTGGGAGGAGAGCGTGATCGCCTGTGGTCTCCGACGCATCCGAGTGTCGTCTGCTACATCTGCCTTTCGCAGACTCCTCTATGCTACTGGATGCAGCTATTGAAGTTTTTCGCCGGTGCGGTTCGCCATAAGAAAATAAAGCAGGTACAGCGTCTTAAGCCAGCATTTTTGATCAGATATGTTGAATCAGATGTTTATCGGACAACAACAAAAAAGTGATAATATTAAAAAAAAAAAACAGACAACCTGTTATCGTAGCTAGGCACGTGCCTAAAATCACTCATCGTGTAACTTGATGATAGATTTTGCACGTTCTTCAACATACATTGATGAAGCACGTTTCAGCAGACGACAATTGATTTGAACAGAAGAGCGGAAAGTGCCTTGTGCTGTGAATCAATTGTGCGTAAAAAAAAAAAAGAAAAAAGGTTTCGACCTTTTATCGCTCCGTCTGACCAAAAACAGTAGCAAAATTGGGTGAGAGCTATATGAAGATAAGATATACAATAGAAGGGAAGCGACTTCGTTCAGAAAAATTATTTTTACAGCGGAATGGTCACCAGGCACGAAACTAAGCTAAGTTTAAATTTACAGACATCCCAGACCAGCCAAAGCCCTTGTGACTCGCTAAAGCAGCACCTTAAGCTTTTGAGCGGAGGTTTTACTTACTCGTATCCAGAAATGAAGCCTAGAAGTGGTCAAAATATCGCTGAAATTACTGATAAAAGCAGCGCCAAACGAGCAAAGGCAGAGGATACTCGTCACGAGTCGGAAGTCTTCGGCGAATATTTTACCAACCTCCAAACTTCCACGTAAACTACATCGCGAAAAAGCATGGTTCCTGGTTTTACGTGTTTGGTTGTTGTAACTTGGCATGAGAAGTTCCAACATAAAACAAGCTTCGGAAGAGAGCAGACACATGAGAAAATGTTGTTACTGTTTTTGGTTTCTAATTGAAAAAAAAAATTTTTTTTTATTATGAAAAGATGTTTTTTTGTTGGCACATATCGTATGCCATTTTCCCACAAATAATATTTCTACCCTCGCATCCGAAGGTGAAAGCGAACCTGTCTAAGGGGGCAGACTGGTCTTTCTGATCGAAAAGTGACAAAAAAACGCATTTTTTAAAACTGATATATTTGGTGTCTGCAAGTATTTTTCTATCTCTCTGTAAATTTTCACCCACCAGGAAGTGGTATTTTTTTTTTTTTGTAATGTCATTCTGACTGCCAAGAGTCTTGGTGCTAGCACAATGCAGAACCTGCAAAAAATGGGGAGCTTACTTGGAGGCTTTTTTATGATTTTCCAGCACCTGTGTCCCAAGCTATACAACCAATTTATGAGCGCCTTTATGAGCATTGCAAAACATGCACATCGTGATTGGTGTTTTTTGAAGAAACAGGGTGTTATCAGTTTTTTCTCCATTTTTCTCAAAAAAGTGAATTTACAACTGTTCAATTTCGAGGCCTCAATATCTCTGCAACTAGGGCAGCTACAGCAATAATTCTTTTTGCAACAGAAACTCGTGCGTGTATATAATGCAAGTATGGGAACAGAATTTAGAGCCCGAGCCTTTTTAATTATTTACTTATCAAAACTGTAACACAATTCGAACTACTTTTGAAAATGAAAAGCTCATTTTGCTGTAAAATGACCAAGAAAAGCCGAAAAACAAAAACTCTTGCAAACTTTCAATCTCTAGTCATTAGTTTATATTGTCATATCATAAATATAACTTTTTAATAAGCACTCTTTTTATATGGTGGCCTTAAACAATAGGGGGTGAACGTGAGTTATCTCAGGAACAAGATGAGTTACAGGAAAAGTAATTACATATTTGAAATCAGCAGAAAAAACTACATAGGCACATACAGTATGATCAAGATCACTGAAGAAATAAACAAAAAGATGTCCAAGATGAGTCTGCCCCCTTAAGGCTTGTGGACAGTTTCGTGAAACTATCGCGGTATGGTCTCTTTGCTAAGGCCCTCTGGTTAGCTTAGCAAAAACTCGTCGTAACGATTTGCCGCCTCGTTTAGCGAGTGTATCTGAGCTGTGCACTAATACACCGAGCAGCGAGAGTAAGCGTGCAAGCAGACGACAATAGCGAGCTCCACGCTTCTCGCGTTTGCTGCTGCGGCGCGGCAGTTCGGCCGCGGTTCTGTAGGTGGCGCTGTCACGACGTTCGGCCGCCGCTCTGGGGGTGACACAATCACGGTGTGGAAAGGAGACTAGTTTCCCCTCCTGTCTATTCTTCCTCCGTGGCCAAAAGCATAGGATATATGGCATATGAAGTCTGTAGTTAATTATCATGCATCTGTACAAAACATATGGTAAGTTGTTACTTGAAAGAAAGCCTGCTGAAAGAATGATGCAAGAGCCTGATTACGTATTTTTTTGTTTTCAACAATAACAATGTACCGTAATAACTCGAATCTAACGCGCACCTTTTTTCCGGTTAAGCGAGTTGATAAATCGCATGCGCGTTAGAATCGAGTACGAACAAAAAAATTACGGTCAATCTATTGCCGTCGGCAAATCCAAAATGGCCACCCCCTACGCGCGTCGGCCATTTCTGCCTATGTGTGCTGAGGAGTTCGTCATCTAGTAGTGCATTAGCATCGACGCGTGGAATCGAGTGCACCACGATGCCGCTTTTAAAAGAAAAGTCATCACGTGTGCAGAAACGGACGGAAATCGGGCCGCATCGCGGTCGTTCGGAGTTCCCGAAACGTGCGTGCGGGACCGGCGGAAACAAAAGGAGAAGATTGTCGACAGCAAAGCTTCACGCAAAGGCTTCAGTGGACCACAGCAGGGTCGGTTTCCGCAAATTAAAGAGCTGCTCGGCGAGTATGTGCTTGAGCAGCGAGCGGCACAGCAGCCCGTGACGACAGAACTGCTCAAAGTGCGGGCTATGCAATTAGTCTTAGAAAAAGGTCTAATGCGGAGCCAGTTTAAAGCGAGCAGGTGCTGGCTAACTAACTTTATGAAGAGGAAAGGCCTTTTCCTCGGGAACATGCATATGCGAAAAGTTTTGCGGAAGAGTACGATGAAAAGCTTTACAGTTTTCAGAGGTTCGTCCTAAACTTGCGGCGCAACAACGGCTACCTGCTTGGGCAAATCGGGAATGCCGATCAGACGCCTCTTTACTTCGATATGCCTGGCACCACAACCGTCGAGAAGAAGGGGGCGAAGCAAGTTCGCGTGCTGACATCGGTCCACGGTAAAACTACAGTGAAGGCAATGCTTTGTTACACGTCAGATGGGCACAAGCTTCGCCCGTACCTCATATTTAAATGGAAGACGCTCCCGAAAGGAGTCGTTTTTTCGAGTGGTGTGATCGTGCGGGCCAGCGAGAAAAATGGGTGCGCGTTGCAATCGATGTCTTACGTTTTTTTTTTTTTTTCGCGGTGGAAATCGGGTGCGCGTTACAATCGAGGGCGCGGTAGAATCGAGTAAATACGGTAACAGCCGACCACATCACCTCAACTAGCACAATTCATTATGTCATTTGACTTTCTTAAAATGGCTTTATCAGCAGTAATGGTAAAGTCAAAATGGCTTTACCATTATTGAATTTAACATATGATATACGCTTATTCTTTAATCTATTCACTTATTTAATATATATGGTCTATCTTGTTTCTCTGTCAAAAAGATGTGCAGTTGCACTTTTGCTCCCAAGTGAGCACGCTTGGATAAAACTCCATTTCTAATACCAGTTATCATTCTCTCTCTGCTTTCATACTGCCACGTGTTTCTTACTTTCACTGTTGTTTCATTTGCTCTTCGCCCACAAAGCCTGTCCGAAATGCTCAGCACAAACTGCGCCTTATAGTTCGACAAGGTTCGCGATTACTGTAGATCTTTTTGTTAAGATTGCACGCAAGACGCGAATACTCGGGACTATTCGCAAGACGCAAATACTCGGGAATACTCGGGAATAAGTTTGCAAGATGGGTCTACTGCACTGTCACTTACTGCCTCTAAACTGCAGCATTTCTAACTTCCTGTCCTTCCATTAATGATTGAGTACCACTTCTTGTTTTACTTTGCCCCTCTCTCCTACCGAGGTGATAGTAATAAGAAAACTGCTAGGAGCATAGCCAGAATTTTAGTTCACACACACGTACAAAGTGTTTTGCATTAACTGAGCACAATGCAGTGCGTTTTTCTGTCAAGTGTAAAACAACCTTTTATACATGATGGAGTAAACTACCGATAATTAGAATTCTTCCTATAGTGAAGGTAAATATAGTCCGATGATGACCATATCTAAGTGTCCTTGCATTTCACCCCCATAGAAATCTTGCGACAAGGCACAGGTAGAGAAACTGAATCTCTTTAGAGGATCCCTCACAAGGCACCAATTAAAGCAGAAAGCATTCCGGCTTTGTGCTGTGGGTCGTAAAGCAGTGTCCGATAGGTGTTCCATTACATAGATAGATCTTTATAAATCGTTCAGTAAGAAAAAAAAGGAAATGATGTGAAAAAATGGTGCAATAGGGCAAGCTACTGGCCCAATAATAAAAGCGCTCCGCAGTTAAGCAGTGTCTACAAGTGACTGTTTTACCTCGTCTGGTTCATTTCACAGTGAATCAGAGAGCCCACTCAACATTATGTTGTGATCCACGCTTTTTCCTCACAGTCTTCCTTTCTAGCTGAATGGAACGTTTCAAGTAATAAGCGTGTGCTGTTGGCTATTTCAAGTTTCATGCAAGACCCATGTCATTATAGAAAAGACTTATGCGAACAGCTTTGAGGCAGAAATGAATGCTTCAAGAATAAAACCATGCAAGGAATTTCCTTAAACAGCCAGCTGTTTCTTGCAATATCTACTGTGGCTGTAATGTTTGGAAATTCTGCAACAACAATCATCACTGCTGAAACACTACGAGAACACTTCACAATAAACACAATTTTGTCAACCAAATTAAAGTCTTTCTTTTAAACAAAGGGGAAAAAAATCACAGCTACGTACTTTACAAGATGAGCGATCTCCCAATTGGAGTCAACCTTCAGCGGTCCTTCAATGACCACACCTTCCGGTGTCACTGTTGCCAGTTGGTACTGTCAATGAACAAGCAGGAACACAGGAGTAAGACATCAGAGTCCTGATGTAACTGAGGCACGGTACCTATCGAGGTGGCTCACCAGCCTGCATATACCCTTCACTGATCGAGCACTCATGGCTAATCCTGCCAGTGCTTCTTAGAAAATTAAACTCCTTTTAAAGGGTCAGTAAACAACCCTGAGGTGCAAAAATTGGTATAAAGAGGAATAAGTGCACTTCTGCTTTGTGAACATGCTGCCTCAAGAATTTGGCGGATACGTGCTATATTAAGGAAGCTACAGGGGTTAGAAAATCGGTTTCAGCGGGTTTCAACTTTTCGCGTGGCTTTGCCACCCTTGTCCCTCACAGGAAGGGGAAGGCTTGGCCTGTCGTCGCGACTCCGCCCACTTCACCAAGGTGACACGATGTCAGCAATTGACGTCATCGGCGAGCTTGATCAGTTGAGACACCCTTCTGCTTGCTGCAACGCCTGCATCACAGCAGTTCCAAGAAACAAGAGACAGTTTCGTAGTGGTGGGTGGGGCCGGAAACTGACGTTGACTTCACAACCGTTTGTTGAGACCTGATTTAGACCAATCGACGAGCTGCGAGCAATATCAAGTCGCAGATTGGCGACTTTACTTTACTGTGCGTGAAAGGAGGATTGGTCGTGGTAAAAAATAAATGCGGGAATCGTTTTTCGAAATGGAGGTTCTGCACGGCATGCAGCACTGTAGTATTTGAAAAACGTGATGACCAGTCTACTCTTCAATTTGCCGAGCTCGTTTAAGGGGGTGTAAAAAAAACTTCGAGCCTGTTGACTGGCCCTTTAAACAAAACATGTTTTTAAAATACTCTGGAGTTCCTTTACACAAGATTCTGATGTATCTGTATCCGCGAGGAATCAAAAGTAAAAATGAACAAGTCACAACCCTAGTGTCCTCAGCATCACATTACGATAGTCTGCCCTTATATACTCTTCTGGTTCAGTTTCCTCGGTTGAACTAAAGGTATACCATTTTATTAAAACTGGTACTCCCGCACCAGTTTAGAAGCATATTGTTCAATATTTGCATTATCTTTAGCGGGAAATTTCGGTTATTCAATCCTTCTAGAGCGAGGCTGCTACAATACTTGCCTTGTCAAAGGACCGGGCATCACGGTAGTACAGCACCCTGAGGCAGTAAGAGAGCACTTCCTGGGCCTCCTTCTTTGTCAGCTGGCCAGCCTTCTTCTCGTACGCATCACGGAGGAGCGGCTGTGAAACAGTAAAGGCAAGCAATGAGGCTTAATGGCACTTTTCTGGTTGTGAACAGGAGTTGCAGAATGTGCGTGTGAGCGTGTTAATAAGGTGTTTATAACCGTGGTACTTAACAGTGAAGCAATAGTTGGCACAACATCTTCCGCTGTTTACCACGTCGAAGCTATATTGGCTGAAGTAAACATGCACAGCAAATATGTGAACACGTTCCCTGCAAGTATTTTAAAGATGCACTAGACGACAAAGGAGGTACCACTGCCACCATCATTCAGTAGACGGGACAATGCCAGATGGCAGAAGTATTAAAACTTTCACAGATATGAAAATGCCACTTTAACCACATAGCAGTCTTCCTCTATTAGGTCAACGTTGTACCACAGAGTAGTTTCGTTATAAGCTCATGAGAAAGTGCTTCGGCACTGCTGAAACAGTCATCAGAGGACATAGAGAATGCCTAGGGGAGCCAGCACAAAGCAAACAACCATCAATGTAAACACAAGTAGGGATTATCAATCTTTAAAAGGATTTCCATTTGGGCACGATACAAAGCCTGCACAATGCCTCCCATAAGTGGAAGGGATCCTGGCCCTTGGCTCAGCAAGTCAAAGTCCACTAATACATTTAAATCCACAATTTGACAAGTAATCGCTTTCACACATGGCAGCAATGTGACACAAGGAACTTGCATCTCAATGAGAAAGGAACGAAAAGAAAAAGAAAGCATCATCTGGTCAAGTGTATTACATCAGTTTAAGGGGTACTGACACGAAAATCTTGTTTTTTCGTGTAAAGTAAAAGATGAAGCCCCCAAGAGCCTAGCAAACCCACTAAGCATGAGTGAACCCTAAAAAGTAATAACAGTGCATTTTTGAAAGCTAGCCTCGGTTCCTACTGTACCCTGATGACAAAACTCGGTATGAGCTTCTCGTCACATGCTCACGCAAGATATTGTGACGTTTCCATGGCCGCTCCGCACCATGGCCCTGTTAGTGATGCACAAGTGGCCATTTTGACAATTTTGGCGTCTCACGTCCCTACAACAAGCCAAACTGTAGCGTGAAGTCATACTATACCCTGACGTCTAGCTAGTGTCGATGTCAGTATGCGTTTCATGAAAAGATTAACTTTAATATAAAAATAAAATATCTTATTAGCATTTGATGAGCCTTACACTTGCTTAGAACTATCTCTGTATACAGGAGATTTGTATGGCAGTGTAAACACATCTCAAAAAAAAAAAAAAAAGAAAAGTCAGTACTCCATTAAACATGAACAGTTCAATGGAGGAGATGTGAAAGGGACATTAAAGAGCAAAAGGATTTTTTATGTATTAGTAAAGTACAATTTCCCAATCCCAAAAATACCACTCTTACAGTGACACAATGCTTAGCAAGAGAGAAAACTTGAGAAAGGAAATATTGATGGAGACGCCACTGAGACTCCCGCACTAAGCAGCATGATGTCATGAATTTCGAAGGCGTCTACTGGGTCCTACGTAGCTTCTGATCGATTAAATTGAAGTACATTGTCATCTGTGGCTGCCACAGACCTAGCCCACGAAGTTTCAGGAAATTTCGAGCCAATGTTGCTTGACGACAAAAGACGGGTGGCTGTATTTACAATATTTATATACAAAGTGTTCGGATCAACAGCAGCCAAGATGGCTTAAACAAGAGACAACCCGTCTTCATCTTCCTTCAGCGGCACATAATACATTTAAAAATTTATTGCGTTACCCGCGGAGACTTCAGCCCAAAATTTAAAAGTGAGACTTTAACTTTGATTTTTCTCCCGAATAATGAGCTTACGATAGCGAAACAAATGGCGTTAGAGCTCTTGGAGCGCCGTTAATCAATCTAAAACGTTATTGCTTCTCTTTAAGGTCTCTTCAATTCCGGTCACATATGCTTCTGTAATGTTCACACAATGTATGGCATGTGAGCATTCTTAAAGTGTCTCGTCATAAGAACATGTACTACTGCTACAATGAGAATAAAATCCACAACCATTTTCCTAGCAATACCATTATATAATCGTGGCAGGCCTGTGCTTTACTGAGTGTGTAAGTATCCCGTAAACTAAAAGCGAGGCGACATAACTTTTTATTAACCCCCAAAAATGTAACGTAATGCTTTTGAGATGTAGATGAACAAAAGATAACTGAAAAGGCAAATTAAGATAAAACAAACTCGGTGTTGGTGTAGGTGTAGCACCTTATCGTTTCAGATATTGCATTATCTTGTGCATGAGATACAAAAATGACAAATACAATATATTCATCATATACTGTAAAGTTTTTCTTTATCAACCATAATGCACCAAATAACACAGAATTCAATTATGCAGGGGGAAAGGAACACCCATACACTTGCTTTTTCCTATATACAATTACACTACTCAAGCCTTTCAAGGCTTGAGTAGTGTAATTAGGAATAAGTTGAGCTGCAACTTATTCCTTCAAGATGATTTGTAATCATGTCATCATGGCCCACCATCTTGGGGTACTAGTTAACAGTGCACCTTGTACGGAGCACAAATCAAAATGACAAACAATCCAGAGAAAGATTGTGACAATATAAGAGCAAAACAATGTACGAGCCACAATATGGTGCACACATGTTCTTGTGGACGACATGTTAGGGTGCTAGCATAGCGAGAAGCCGCGTCCGGAACAATGCGCATGAACTAGTTAGAGTTGAAATTTGTTTATACATTCCCCTTGTGTTCACTTTCTCTTAGCCAACTTTTGCAATATCGTTATCAAGCGGAACTGCGCAATGTTTTAGTGAATTCTGACAGTATGTTTTCTCTGACAGCACTTTTTTTTTTCTCGAAAAGTATACGAATGGGGTCCTACTATACATGGCACGTATTTTCACTTTTTTCTGGTATAATTAGCCAGCCTCAATAAAAACAAGTGACTTAGTATATCAACACGAGAGGATGTGGCTTGTACCTGGGCAATGTAGGCTCCATAACCAGTGGCCAAAGTCTCGCTTTCAAATGCAGTTCCCAACATATCGACTTGGCCAAGGAATCTGAATTTCAGAGAGAACAGCATGCTTCGTTAAGGCATTCCAGGCATCACAATTACCAGTAAATAATTAGTGCCCAACACACATTGCAATGTTCACTGTTGTTGCACACTTCAAGCAAGATCATAAAGAACATTTCTCAGTTATAACACTCGCGCGGGCACACTTGTCACAACAATTCTCACATATCGCTGTCATTAGTATATATTAAAGAAAACATGAGAAAACTTCCATCCAGATCCGAGTAACAAAACTACAAGAAAAACATGGACAAAGTCAAGCAGTTGCCAAAAATTGCTTATTAATATGACAGTGTTAAAGGGCATGTTTCACTGAAATTCCGGGTTTGGCGTCGTGGGGCAAGAAATCATCATCTTGTCCGTCACCGAAAAATTGAGAAAGACACTAGAACCATTACACCACTCCACTGCGCATCGTCGATGATGATGTGACTGTACCGCCGCAGAGCAGTGTAATGGTTCTAGTCAGAAATGATACGTTTAGTGACTACGAAGGTGAGGCAGACAGCAACATGGACGTTTTCCTAAAAAGAGGTGTTTGTGTGGCATGAGAGATTATCCAGCTACGAAACAAGTACGCAGACGTCCTCCTGACAAATTTTGGGAACGAATTCCAGCACATCGCAAAGGGGACAGCCACTACTTTTCTTCATGAGGTTTGTGAAGCCACAGAAATATGCAGCCTTGAAACAACGTCAACGGATATGACACCAACATCTGATGTCTGCGACGTAATATCCATAAATCCCAATCTTTCAGTGATCCACCGTCAACAGCTATACGACCTTGTACGGGAATTTGGCAGCTGTTTCTCCAATAGTTCAAAGGTACGACGCACAACCATTGCAAAACACAGGATCGTAACAGACGAGACAACCAGGCCGGTACGCCAGCACCCGTACCGCGTTTCACCAAAAGAAAGGGAAGTCATCAAGAATCAAGTACAGGAGATGCTTGAAGATGATGCTCTTCAACCTTCTAGCAGTCTGTGGGAATCTCCTGTAGTACTTGTCAAGAAGAAAGATAACACGCTACGGTTTTGCGTCGACTACCAGAAATTAATTGCTGTGACTAAACGGGATGTATATTCCCTCCTGCGTATTGATGACACATTAGACAGACTTCGGTGTGCCAAGTTCTTTTCATCACTAGATCTGAAAAGTGGATACTGGGAGATCGAAGTTGATGAACGTGATCGCGAGAAGACTGCTTTTGTTACCCCGGACGAACTCTATGAATTCAAGGCTCTCCCTTTTGGTCTCTGTTGTGCGCCGGCAACGTTCCAACGCATGATGGACACTGTACTTTCCGGATTGAAGTGGCAGTGTTGCTTAGTGTACCTTGACGACGTGGTCATCTTCGCCGCTACATTCGAGGAGCATATCAAACGCCTGCGAACAGTGTTAGAAGCAATCCGTTCGGCAGATTTAACCGTCAAGCCAGAGAAGTGCCAATTCGGGTTCGAAGAGCTTCGATTCCTTGGGCACGTTGTCAGCGCCCACGGTGTGCGCCCTGATCCCGAAAAGACAGCCGCCGTTGCAAGGTTCCCGGTGCCAGCAGACAAAAAGTCAGTACGGAGATTCCTAGGTCTCTGTGCTTACTATCGACAATTTGTCAGAAATTTCTCGCAGATTGCAGAACCCTTGACGAAACTTACGAGAGAAGGTGTACCTTTCCAGTGGGAAACAGAGCAACAAAGCGCCTTCAACGAATTAAGAAAACGGTTGCAAGAGCCCCCAATCCTTTCTCATTTCGATGAAACAGCTGACACAGAAATACACACAGACGCCAGCAACATCGGCCTAGGATGCATCCTAATACAGTGGCAGAATGGCGAAGAAAAGGTGATAGCATACGCCAGCCGGACTCTAACAAAGGCGGAGACCAATCATTCGGCCACAGAGAAAGAATGCCTTGCCGTCATCAGTACGTTTCGGCCTTACTTGTATGGTAGACCATTAAAGGCAGTCAGCGATCACCATGCCCTTTGCTGGCTCGCCTACGTCTGGACATTTGGGGGCCACTCAAACGCTTGCACGAATCAGTCAGCACTATTATTGGCCCAAGCTATTGTCTTCAGTACAGCGCTATGTCAGAACATGCCGCGAGTGCCAAAGACGGAAAGCGCCTCGTGCTAAGCCAGCGGGCCTTCTGCACCCGATAAACCCTCCGAAAGCACCCTTCCAACAAGTTGGAATGGACCTCCTTGGACCATTTCCGACATCTTTACTTGGCAAGAAGTGGATCGTTGTAGCGACTGATTATTTAACGAGATACGCAGAAACAGACTCCTTGCAGCGAGGAACGGCAGCTGAGGTCGCCAAATTCTTTGTACAGAGCATAGTGCTACGGCACGGCGCTCCAACTGTTGTAATCACCGATCGCGGACCGGCTTTCACGGCGGAACTCATGGAATGCCTGCTGAACATGACCCACACTGTTCACAGGAAAACTACCGCATATCACCCTCAAAGCAACGGCCTGACTGAACGCCTTAACAGAACTCTAGCTGACATGATATCTATGTATGTGGACGTCGAACACAAAAAGTGGGACGAAATTTTACCATACGTCATGTTCGCCTATAACACCACCGTACAAGAGACTACCAAGATTACCCCGTTTCAACTAGTTTACGGTCGTGTAGTTACCACAACACTGGACGCTATGTTACCTATAGATCAAGATGACTATCCTTCTGATCTCGATGACTATATAGAGAGAGCGGAGGAGGCCCGCCAATTAGCAAGGTACCGAATATGTCATCAACAACGAATCGATGCCGACCGCTACAACCGAGGAAGACGTGAAACACGGTATGAAGTTGGTGACAAAGTGTGGATATGGACCCCAGTACGACGACGGAGCCTGTCTGAAAAACTCATTTGTCGATATTTCGGTTTTTACGAGGTAGTACAGCGACTCAGCGATCTCGTTTATGAAGTCAAGCCTACAGGACATGGGCATTCTAAACGACGCAACCCCGCCGAACGTGTACACATTGTGCACATGAAACCGTACTACGACCGGTACGGAGACTAGCCACCCCACTGGCTTGCTGTACAACCATTTCCGTCTTACAAACCTTCCGAGACGGAAAGGCTGCATACATTATCATCGAAAGCATCGGGGCGATGCGTCTTGAGAGGGGCGATAATGCCACGGGAAATTACCATTGCTCCGCGCGACGCTGGGAACCAGAGAAACGCTAACGGCACGACTACAAGCGACAAAGCCAGCCGCAATGCACGAGCCGGCCCTGCATGCGCCCGGTACTCTGCCGAACAGCCAACACGCGTGAAGAAGAAGAGAACGAGGGGGCTCGAGGCAGAGGCTCACGAGGACTACCACCCTTGGATATTCTTGATTGCTGTGCGTCGTTCGCTTTGGGCACAAGTTCGCCCTTAATAAACCGTGCAAATAGAACATCGTTGTTGTGAGGCTGCTACATTCGTTACAATATAGCGCAAGGAGTATCCTTAGCACACGAGATTGCGTGGCAGATGTGTAGAATCACACCAGGCTCCAAGACATGTGAATGGCAGCGACTGAGTGTTTTAAAGGACCACAAAGTGCTCAGACATACTTAATCACCATCAGCTAAAAATGCATCAACAAATGGAGCACCTGTCTAGCTTCGCCTGTTGCCTTAGAAATGCATAGTTGGCCTTTTGCTGATTTGCAAAAGGAAGAATTACGGCACAGTGGCCACTTGACAATCCTACTTGCAGTAAGCATCCCAAAGATAGCTCAAAAGGGCCAGTGTTATATAAGCACAGTTGTCCGTTTCCTTACAACAGTTGAGGCATGCACGGAGAACTGAAGCCAGGCTAGCAATTAAAAAGGCAATGCGCACGGGGCCCGATTACGCGATTGTGTTCTACTCCTGAAGGTAAAGCCAAAGTGCCCTGTAAAGCTTTTGGAAAAAGCACACTGTAAAGATTAAAGTAAAGCTTAATATTCTCTTTATTTATAATTTCTTCCTTATTGGGATTTAGGTATTATAATAATTTTGAAAATATGACTCCTGTAAACTTTTCACAGATACTGCAAAGCCAAAGAGCTGCATGGTGTCAGCCAAAGAACTCTGGACAATGTGCACTACTAAGTTCTTGATGGCCCCCTTGTTGTCTTCCAACTGCAGTTTAACCCATTCCTTGTTTAAATTGAACTTTGATCTTTACTGTCGAACAAATAAAGAAACTCAACTTGGACAGAAAGAGTAAATACAGGCAATCAAGCGTAGAAAAAAATGAAAAATACAGCAGACTCTCAGTGAACGGAAATCTGTTAAGTGAAATTATAAATGGAACAACTGCCCTCAGCCTGATTGGTTTCGTACTTGCATTCTCCACCCTTGTTCATCTCTCAGTAAACAGAACTCCTGTTAAACAAAACATATTCTCCTGGTTCCTTCAAATTCCGTTTAACGAGTCTACTGTAATAAAAGCTTATGATTTTGTTGTAGCATCACACAAGAGGGCGAGCCTGGGATGCTATTTTGCAAGTTAACTTGTATATTTCTTCGTGTGGTGACTGGATAACTCCCAACAAATGGCAGATCAGCATCAACCGTCATCACAGGCTCCCTGGCTCTATCAGATTAGAATGACCACTTATTGCAAAGTCCGCTTAGTGCCTATGTATAGAATACCATGGATGATCGTTATTTCGTATGTTAAAGGGAACTCTGGTGCATTTTAAATCATATTAATATAATGTTGTTTTCAAATAGTATTGACAGTCCTGAAAAAGCTGGGGTGTTTCATTTCGCTTCGGCACTCGACAAGTCAAAACAGAAACCGAAACAAGGAGCTGTCCTCCATGGTGGGTATCAAATGATGTCACGAGATCCTTTACAAGCTGCCACGGCTGGACAGGGTGTAAACATAGCTCACGCGCCTCTTTTGATGCGCGAAAAGCAGCTTGGCGATGTCATCCAATGCGGAATCAAACTGTGCTAGCTCGTCTGAGTTTACCAGTGACAAGTTCAGAGATAATTGCGGCTACTACCCGAGCACCGAAGCACTGCTTTTTGATTTCGACCCGCTCGCGCATGAAGCATCTGACATGTCCCGAATCAATTTCCTCAATACTATTGTACGACTGGCATCAACGACGACTAACACACTGTATGCAGCTGACGAAACTGAACTGTGCTCGCATTCTCGTAGTCTCGAAGAAGAAAGCGCACGTTGCATCCGTCTGCTGGGAAAGGCGGGGTTTTGAAAAAGAGTAGGCCCTTACATCAGATACACACGGTGGTCCGCATTTACAAGTATGATTCCAGAATCTGCTATCAATTTTAAAATTTGTTTTCCAAACAACTAAATGACTTGCGGTTGTATAACTTGGCGCATATTACCACGGTACTGAGGACAACACATGTTCAAAGTTTTATTCGCTGAATATAAAAAAAAATCGCTGAATATAGAATCGCTGAATATAGAAAAAATCACTGAATATAGAAAAAAAAAAAAGAAAACGGAGTTCCCCTTTAAGACAGAAAAATCCGGGTGAAGCCAATAAGATGCTTTACCACTCCGCCCCCTAATTTTGGCAACACGTCATTCGCTTAATATTGCCGCGAGGAGTCGCCGTAGCGCCAGACGCTACGGCGACTGTATCTCGGATGGTGAACGCGCCTTGCGTTCCAGTGGGACATTCTGTTCCCCGACGGCCGTCGAACGCGCTGTTCGCCACCCGCTAAGCTGTCGCGTCTTTTTGCTTTTAGTGGGCGCAAGTCCGCCAAATAAACGGATCTCCTTCTATTTCTACTAGCCTCCCGGTCTCCTGTCTTCGCGCTACCCTCACTCTTACGTGACAATATGTTTTCACTCCCAGCAACCAGTAATGATAGCTTCATTTGTTCTTTAGTTTATGGTATCACACACAGTTATTTTTTGTTAGCATTTCGTGATGATTTCACTTCATTTTCAAACAACAAAATTTTGTTCAGAAGATTATATATATATATATCACGTGAATATATGCTTTTTATGTAGCAAAATATTTAGTTGCAGATGAACAAGAGTTAATGTGCCCACAGTGAAAAGTAAAAATATGGGCACTTACGGGACACCGTCCTGTAGGCCCCCAATGAGGTAGGTGTTCCACAGTGGGTCGAACCTAGAACGCCTGCAATAAATAGAAAAATACCAGTAACTGTAAAGCCACGCAGTATTACAGAACTTTGCAAATCACTTTCTAAGCTTGAGAGTAATTTTCCATTAAAAATTTGAGAAAATGACCTTTCTCAGCACAATGTACTGTCAGCTGAAATATTTGTGGGATCCGCAGCATAAGGCGGAGCGGCAAAAAACTGCGTCGCTGCGGCACCTACCATGGCACGGCGGGTGTTGAGGCTATCAGCCTCAGTGATTAGCGATGGCAGGTTTAGACAACGCGCCGCTGGCAGATCTTATAGTAAAAGCCGCCACTCATATCCTGAATACCCACTGGTAGACGATACAGCGATGCTGTTTGTCGTCCCTCCATCACGCACTACAGATCCTACAGACTTTTGTGGCCGAAAGTACCTGGCTTTAGAAATCATGTACCAATGTATTGAGCGACCTGTCCGAAGCAAATCATCTGGAGCAAGAGTGGCTGCACTAGCTGACACAGAGCAAATGAAACGTGTATTTCAATACCATTTGCTGGACGCTACTGCAAAAAAATTTGTTTTTCAAGATTTTAATGTGTGAGTGCTTGACTCAGGAAAATCTGAGAAAGGTAAATAAAAACAGAAACTACTATATGAATAAATTGTGAATTAGAGTAAGATGAAAGATGTAAACAAATGCGAACCTTACGAAGACAATGACTGTATCATGCTAAGTAAATGAATGCATTGCGATAATTATGACTCCACCATGATGCTTCACATTTAAATGTTGCATGAGAACAGCAGAGGTCGGCTTGTGATACCCATTAGTATTCCACATGTTTAGTATGAAAAAATAGAAGCGAGAACATAATGCAAGGATGAAATGTAGCATCATGTTTAAAGAATTATCTATGTGCTATGTTTCAAGAATTGCCACATTTTATGTGGATATCTGCAGTGCCGTAGAGCTCGAATGCCCTCGTAAAACAGCCTAAAAAAATTACATGAAAAATTTATTCCTAAAGCGCTCAGAATAATAGAGGGCTGAGCTAGTTGGCAAGTGTTCCACGCTCAAAATGGAGCATAGAAATCCCCCCACCCCTCAAAAAAAATAAAAGAGTGGTGTCCTGAGTAAGCACTTTAAATTTAAGTGTAAGTCTTTAAAGGGACACTAAAGGCAACTATTAAGTCGACATTAATTGTTGAAATAGCCGTCCACAAACCTTGTATGGTTACTTTTGTGCCAAGGAATGGCCTATTTTAAAATAAAATTACGTTTTAGCGGTTCGCATCGGGTTAGCGCGCTTCAAATTACCTGCCTCAAGAAGCTGACCGACCGGACCGACTCGCGTCACTGTTGCCGTGCACGTTGCCCGGCTTTACAGCACTAGTAGCAGTAGACCAAAAGCAGCGAGCCACAGCAGCAACAACGGCCATTGATCAATTTCCCTCCATTAACTCAGAGATTGTAGACATTTTGGTTCAACTAAGCCCCGCTAGATAGCACCACCTGTCTAGTTTAAATTTTTGAACCACTCATGCCATTCCTCAGCAGTAACGCCCAGGGGTTATTTTGTCCATTAATGAAACAAAAACAATCAAGCAGCATTTTATTGCGCCTCTTGATGCACAGGAAGGTCTTTATTTAGTGCAGCTAGATCTATTACTAGCTTTTAATTATAGGCGGTTCGTCTGATGTCATCGGGATCATATTGAGAATGTCCTACTGCGGCACATGAGTTCTTGTGCATTTACCTTAATTTTTTGGTATGTAGGACAATGTTGTTGATAATATTGTCATTTAAGATGTTGTCCTTCGTTGAGCTTTCACTGACGTAAATTGTTATTTGACTTTAGTGTTCCTTTAACATGAACTATTTTTAAAGCTCCTAGAGTAAGTGTCGCCAAAAAGCAATCTGTTTTTCGTTTGCTGTAGTATAAAAACACCTAGACCGAAATGAAGAAACTGTTCAGTCTTTGCGAGCCTTATCCTGCAAATAATGTGGCAAGGTACCATTCTCGTATAGAGTGCATACCTGTTGTACATGATGCGGGTCAGCCAGGAGTACAGGGATTTGGGCTTGAGTCTGAAACCGTCGTTCAGGCATTCTTCGCTGATCCTGGAAAAAAGTCACCGAGCCACAGTTTGTCACGGAGTCCCGTTTCTACTTGAATGCAGAAACGAAGCTGTGTGCAAGCATCCATTCGAGGCCCAAAGCTCAACATTCTCTGAGCATACCATCTTTGCAAGCAGGCAGTTATTGTCTGTCAAGGCAGCAGATGCAAAAATGACGGCATTGAAAGGGACATGAAAACAAGCAAAAACCTCTTGTCAAGCTTCCAACTGCCACTTGTAAAAAAAATTGGAGTCATTTTGGGATCGCACGTATTCTGTTTCATTCACGTATTCCCGTTTTCCACCACACACTTGTTGCAGTAATCTGCTTTTTATCGTGAGTAGGCGAGGGATGCGAATATCATGTGATGAGGCTTTAGCAAGTGAATACGTGTGAAGCCAGGAAAGATCATAGATGCAATCACTGGCATCATTGGTTCACAGCAAAATTGTTTCCATCAGTTTTTGCAGTGGTTTTGTAGTTAAAAGGCTTTCAAATGGCAGTGTCTATCGACATAACTGAAACTGCCTGTGATGTCAGTTAGAAAAACCTTTCATGCAACCTTTCTGCGAGTGGCATGCAAAAGTGCATCTTTCGTGAAACCTTGGACAATTAATTTTTTTATTACTAGTAATTTATTTACAATACTCTTAATGCCATGGTGGTCGTACAGGGAGGAGTTCATTTTAAAAAGTCAGCGTATGCAAATACGCACAAAAGAAACAAGTCACGACACCCTAAACGCCGACCAACAACTGGAGAGACGCACATGGGTAGAAATGAAAGAAGGCACAAGGGTTTGACTGTGCATGCTCATGCAATAAGGAAACCTACACCATGTGTTGGGGAGTTTACGTGAAAGATAATTGTCAAGGCACCTGACACCAAGTTATTGGACGGTTGGCTAATGCATGCACTACCACTCTTAGCGATATGCCTTTTCTCACTCATCAGATGAATTTCTAATTCCTATGCTGGCACAAAACTGCACATACATCGAACTTCGGCGTGCACTTACACTGTCAACAATGTAAAAATAGATTGGAGGGTGTGCCTCCGGTTAGCGATCTCTTGTGTTCCAATAATCTCTAGCTATAGAGTGGCCCTTATATCCTACGTAGTAGCGACTACAGCTAAAAGGGACCTCATACACCACACTTGCACAACAATTAATGAATTTGTTGGTGTATTTTAGGAACAAATATCGACCTGCTTTTTGTCCTTTAGTCGTTCATTCTTTCTCTGCACAGCAGCACAAATGGTACCTATCTTATCGGCACCCATAAAAACAACACTGACGCCGTCTCTACTTCTTACTTTCTTTAGCCTATGAGATACTCAGAGTACGGTATACCTACAACACATTTATTTCTATCGCTTTCAGCAAACATGCTTGAATTTGAAATAACGAACTTCTTCAACAGTGGCCACTGCAACACAAGGATAACTTGTGTCTAAAGACTCGTAAAAGGTGAGCTATAGCAATCACTCACATTGTGCATACATGACATGGGCTGCTGCATTTACCAGAGATTATTGGAACATGAGAGATCACTAACCGCAGGCTGACCTTTTAATCTATCTTTACATGGCCGAGGGTATAAGTACACGCCAAAATTCAATGAATGTGCAGTTTTCTACCGGCATGGGAATGAAGCAACACATCTGATTATTGAGGCATAACATACCAATAATAGCGGTGGTGCACATGTGAGCCAACCATAAATTAACTAGCACAAAGATGAAATCAGATGCCTTAACAATTATCTTTCATGTAGACCTTCAGGTGATTGACAAATAGGGTCTAACATCGCAAAACCAGCATATGATTATGAGAGACCTTGTAGTGGAGGGCTCTGGAAATTTTGACCACCTGGGGTTCTTTAACGTACGCCCAAATCTGAGCACAAGGGCCAGATCTCCATGTGCGCTGGACTGATGGGTTAACATATTGCATTGGTATGCGCAGACAAGTTTTAGTGCCTTATTAATATCTGCCATGTGCGTCTCTCCAGTTGTTGATCGGTGTGTAATAAATAACCGGTCCACAGACGTTAGACAGAGACGACCCGTTTATTCAGCATGGAGCCAAATCAGTCCCATCCTAGAATGTGCCTATCTCCCCTTCGCGGTCTTCCCCATCGATCGCGCACACTTCTCGATGCTCCGTTCCGGCGCATTTTGCAAAATCCTCCGAGGTGAGCCAAGATCAGTGTGATGCTTTAAGGCGATTCACTATTGAACCATTGGCTAGATGCACTGAGCATGAGCGCACTATGCTGTCTCTTCCTGGCAGTAAGGTGATCATTTGGCCTAGCTTCCAGTATGCTACAGGTGTGTTGCCCCCTAACACTAGCACTAAATCGACGATCTGTAGTTTGGTTGATGAACGACTTAGGCTGTTATGTGCTGATTGCAGTAGTAGCAGGTAGGCTCGTTTCCGTTTTTCCAAAGTTCATCTATGATACGTTGGCGATGAGTCTTTCGGTTGAAGCCAACTGTAGTCGGAAGCTCCGAGAAGTCAATGTATTGTGACAGGGAAACGCTGCTCTTTCCTAACAACTAATGTGATAGAGTCAATGGCTGGAGCTCATCGGGTTCACTCTCGCGATACGTCAGTGGTCTGCTATTGATTACTGCTTCAATCTTGCACAGCACAGTTGTGAGGGCTTCCACGTCAAGGCTGCTGCGTCCCGATGAGCGTTTCAAGGAGTTTTTTGTTGAGCGACTGAGACGATCCCACCATCCGCCTCAACATGGAGCTCTCTCTGCGATGAACTTCCACTGTATCCGTAGCTCGGCCGCATACTCTCGAAGCGCTGGTAGTGTAGGTGCAAATATTTTAGCTCAGCTGCGCCCCTTGCGATGTTCTTCTTCGAAAGATCTTGGAATACAATCTTGGCCTTTACGGTAAATGGGCTGAGGTATCCCAGGGGGTTATAAATTCTGGCCAACATTTGCAGTGCCATGCGTTTCGTCCCAGGCTTCCCAGATGTGAAAGTAGTAGCATGTTGTGAGGAGGAAGCTGTGCTCCGTAGTCCTACTAGAAGGACTACCGAAGAATGCCTCCTGCGTGCTCGGTAGTCCTACTAGAAGGTCGTCCACATAGAAGGCCTGTTCTTAAATGGCTACCGTAGTTGGGTATTTCTGCTTACAAGACGATAAGTGGTGTTAAAGTGTAGCGACCCAAAAGAATGGGCTCGATACGGCTCCGAACGGAACCCTCGTCATTCTCCACGTCGTTGGGGGTGGCATGGGCTCTTCTTTAATCGGTAATCTTTCCAGCCAAATAAAGTGTAACAGGTCTCGGTCTTCAGAACGAATGAGAAGCAGCAGATATTCTTTCTTTACATCGGCAGCGAAAACCACAGGGCGGCAGCGAAAGTTTAATAGGCGTTGGATGACGTCTCCCCCAAGTTTTATGCCTTTTGAGAGTACATCGTGAAGGCAAACATGACCAGATTCATGTGATAATGCGTCAAATGCGACGCGAAGCTTCATTGCTACAGCCTCACGACGAACCACGGCCTGATGGGGCATATAGTAGATGTTGGCCTTAAGTAGCTGCTCGTCCGGTACCTTTTCGGCATGACCATCGTTGAAATAAGCTGAAATTGCTTGGTCGTATTTTTTTAGGAACCCTCTTTGTAAGAACCCTCTTACAAACCCTCTTACAAAGAGGGTTCAGGTTAAATTGAGGACGACGCAGCGAGCAATGGAAAGAAAAATGGTAGGTGTAACCTTAAGAGACAAGAAGAGAGCAGAGTGGATTAGGGAACAAACGGGGGTTAAGGATATCATAGCTGAAATCAAGAAGAAGAAATGGACATGGTCCGGGCATGTAGCGCGTAGACAGGATAACCGCTGGTCGTTAGGGGTAACTGGATTCCCAGAGAAGGCAAGCGGGTTGGGGGGAGACGGAAGGTTAGGTGGACAGATGAGATTAAGAAGTTTGCGGGTATAAATGGCAGCAGCAAGCACAGGACCGGGTTAACTGGCGGAACATGGGAGAGGCCTTTGTCCTGCAGTGGACGTTGTCAGGCTGATGATGATGATTTTTCTAGGAGTGATGGCTGTTCTCTGAAACGGTTAATTTGAATTCGCAGTCGATGTTCGGCCAATCAGCGATTGTTGCTTCCGGATGGTAACCCGGGCGGTTCGACCATGAAAGGCACTTGATAATGGCTGTCTTGTTTGGAGATGTCCTGCTCAAATGCAGACATGTGGGGTCACTTTCAATGGTCCGGAAACAGGTGGCGTAGATCCCATTAACGATACGTCAAGGTGCTCTGAATCGTAATTGTGAGTCGTGACAAACAGTGCACTTGTTGAGAATTGGCTGTTGGACTTTATAGGGCCTTGCACCATCCATCCGAAGGTGGTTTCGATCAAGGTTATACTTGCGCTGATGCGATCCATTTTGCCACTTGTGACTTGCCCATAGGCGTTTGATCGTATGAGACACCGATCTCATCCAGTTGCCACAAACTCGGTTGGAAGCGGTCAGCTACGTTGTACTTCCATTAAAAAGTAGGTGCGAAATCTTGGACTCGAGTGGTCGGCTTGTGACAGAGCGAATTCCAGAAAAAGTTAACTTTTCTAAGGTAATCACTGAATTGTTGAACTGGCTTCGAAGCCGCACGCTGACACGCTCGGTGCAGAGTCCCCTTCGTGACTTGGATCCTCCAAAAGTGACAAGAGAGAGCTCTTATTTTCCCACGACGAAGCACTGAAGCATCCTTGCCGGGTCTGCCCGAATGTAGGTGTACTAACTGCCGCTGTTCAGCAGTACCCGCACGAGGAGTCGACAGTCTCTAGACTCTGCCCGAATTTGGCCTGTCTGTAACAATACGTGAGTGGACTCAACGTGACTCTGGGTGGTAGAGACCATTCGAGTGTTTAATGGGGGTGATTGAGAAAAGGCTGGGGATCCTGCGTTGGGGTACGAATCTTCGGCCGGGTGTGATAACTCGCAGAGGATGGTGAGGTGGTGTCGCTGGCAGATACCACACCCAAGATTGAATGACTTCCTGCACAATCTGGCGATGTGGTTTCGTGTTCCACAGCGAAAGCAACAATTGTTGTACTGTAGCATTGCCCACTTCTCTTCAGCCGATAGGTTGGCATTGCAGGCAGCGATCATGTGAATCTTGCTGTGGCAGAGTGAGCACGCCAGTCTAACAGGCAATACACACGCCATTGGAGCGGATGCTGACAGAATAATTTTTGTGCCATACATTTCTTCGGATATGTGGGTTCTGGCTTCGTCTTGCGACATACGATGAGACTGTAACTGGCCCTCCTCCCGCGTTTCCACTTGAACGTGGAGAATCGTTAGTAACTCCTTGGCTTGTCTTCAGGTGTATCGGCGATGCTGGAGGTGCAGTTTGATTCCTTCGATTTCTGCCTGAACATAATGGCGAGATCCTCCAGCAGACATCGCATTAGGACACGGTTTAGGACCACAGTGTGCTGGTCGGGCGCAACTCCTAGGCCTTCCAAGGCACTAATGTGGAACTGCACATTATCGTGCAGCAGACGAAGCCTTCGGACGTCTGACGAGCTTCCACAGGGCTTAGCGCAAGGAGATTACCAACAAGCACATTCACAAGGAGATCCTGGTGTCCAAAGCGATTTGTGAGGGTCTCGATTGCAAGGTCATAATTTTGTTCTGCTAAACGGATGCCTTCGACAGCTCACTTCGTGCTCCCAGTTAAGTAAGTGAGGAGGTACTTGAATTTTTTGATGCGCGGTAGCTCGGTATTCTTGTGGATAGTAGCGTCGAAATGGTCCCAAAAGGTCTGCCATCCACAAAGCCTACCATCAAAAGTTGGTATCAGGAGCTTGGGCAGTTCAACCGCAAGCAAATGGCACGCTCTCATTTGCTCTGCTGCTTTGCCGGAGTTCGGAAGTTCTAGGTTGCTTGACCCGGGTCCAGTGGCTCGGGCCTGCATTGTGGCTGCCTTCTCATGTCCCTGTAGCCAGAACTTGGCTCACGAGACGACTCAAAGAATTTTCGCGTTGTACTCGTCTGCTGTTTCCACTTCACGGTCCAGGTTTTCTTCGTCCGTTGCGACGTCGCCGAGCCTCGAAAGTGCTGCTTCTTTATCGTTCAGGAAGTCCATGTGGCTGGTAATCTGGGAGGCATCAAGATCCGGTTGCTGCAGCAGGCCCGATAACAGTGCTAGGGCTCGGGTCACAACAGCTCTGACTGAGCCGCACTTCTTCCCAAAATGGTCAGTGGTCAACATGGCCGTGATGTTTAGCAAAGTCTCCAAAAGGGTGGATACCAGGTTTTGTGCACCAAAATGTAACAAATAACCGGTTTGCAGACGTTAGACGACGACCCATTTATTCAGCATGGAGCCAAAGCTGTCCCATCCTAGAGCGTGCCCATCCCCCCTTCGTCATCTTCACCACCAATCGCGCATGCTCCTCGATGCTTCGTTCCGGCGCATTTTGCAACACGGTGTTTGGGGCATCATTTGGGGTTTCTTTCTTGTGGCGGTGTTGTATGTAAAGTCTCTTCGGAACGAACGTTTAACACCTAGCTCAGCTCTCCGTTATTCTCAATAGAGACGAGCAGTACAGTTGTGCTACATTGTTACAGACTTACTTCTTGAATAAAGATTGTAGTCGTCGGTGGTAATGAAGGCCAGCAGGTGATTTAACACTAATATCATCCTTAGCGATTGAGCGAAAGCACAAGCTGGAGCCGCAGGACGGTACCCAAACTTTAACACCGATCAACGCATCACGATATGTGGGACGCCAAGGGGCAACTCACATTTTCTGATCGATGACGCTCTTGAGATACTGGAAGTCGGCGTAGTCACCACTGGCTGCGGCTACAATCTGGTCGTTTACCTTCAGAATGCGGGGGCAGTTTCTGAACCTTGCCAGCGACCCGTACGAGCCGAGGATATCTGCGACAAGCATGACTCCGCCATCAAACTTGGTCGCCAGAACGGACGTAGCCGTGGTCATGGGGCTCCTGAAATAAATACCGGTAATGTTGTTAAGGTGCATTGCGCATGTGCCCGCTGTTGAAGATCACGCGACCCTTAAAAAAGGTGGCCTGCCACGCAAGGTGCTGTCGCTCATTCTGTGGCACAGCCTTTTTGTGAATATCGTCATATACTCGCTCCTGTCTCTTCCATATACACGTGATTTCCGCGACAGTATAAATATAGTAGAATAATTTAATAAAATTTAACTTTAAGAAAGCTCAGCCATCGCACGGCACAACAATCATGTCACGTAGACTGCGTGAACGACATATCAAAGTGCGAACGCAGTGTAATATGGCACGGATAGCTTAGCCAATCCCTACGGTGCACGGTTGTCTGCTCAGTTTCATGAGAAAAGAGCTGAGCTATGCTCAGTGATGGCAATCATAGTTTACCGGTTGCAGTAGACATGAATGGGTGGTAGGAACATCACTCTGTGCCCCAGTTTATTGCTACATCCGCCAACTCTGTGAAACCATAAGTTGGAGTTAACAAAACAGAGACCCACAGCAGCTTACGGGCTGTGAAAGCTTACTGAGAACGTAAAAGTACTCCTGTGTGCGAAAAACGTCAACTCATCTAGCATTATCACAGGTAGAGTCGCTACCTCTAGACACTTCGCAGCAAGGCCCATTAGCAGTAGCGCTCGCTGTGTCTTTACCGCTTTACTTACTGAGTCCGCTGGCGTGCCCCATCGTAAATAGCTGCCGGGACTGTAGGATGAAACTTGGAAAAACCAAACGAGTCTTGCCCCGGACACACTGAGATGTTGAACGCCATTTCAGCCATTTCTTTGCGAATACGGTAATGCGCCTGACGCTGAATTTGAATTTAAAGAAATCCTCCCTGCAACTTGAAAACAATATCCCCTGGGAGCTCAACTAATATTATTAAGCAACATTGGAAGAAAAAAGCAATAAATTATTAGCACAATATACTTTTAATGTTGTGCTAATTGCAAGCTGTAACACTGTACCGGCTTTAACCGCTGTATGAGCGCTACAAGCTGTCGGCGCCACATTCAAATCAACGTGCGATTACCGTGCGATGCTGCGAGCGGTTGATCGATGGTACAGTAAGCTAGAAAAGATTTCCTACTACAAATCAATGCATTTATGAAACATAGGCCAGCATGGTATTGAAGCACAGCTTAATGGCCATTACTAACTGAGCTTTCAAAAAAGTTCATACGAATAAAATTATTTCCCCCGCCACTTGGAGTTGAAAGTTTCTATAAGGTTAAAATTTAAATGCTATAAAATGACCAGACGTTTCGAGACAAATTCGGTCCCTTCTTCAGGGGTGACTTTGGCGGTGTGCAATGGTCATAACTGCAACATAAATTATGTACAGTCAAATTCTTATTTCCATCATAACTCGGTCCCGGGCCATAACTAAAGGGGAGGTGAGGGGGTTCTTTAACCTCCCGAAGTTTCTTGATGCTTCAACTTTTCGGGTGGCACTAATGTATTTACGTACCTCCACATGGACTACCAGTGGCTAAAGGTAGGCGTTCTACACGTAAGCACCCGCTGAAAAGTATTACTGGTAGTTTCCTATATTATAATGTGTTGAGGCACGTTTGCTACTTTCTGCACTATCCCAATCTGAATGATGTCTTCGTAACTAGAGACCTTCACGTCTACCAGTAATGATAATGCTGAAAAGTTATAGATTGCTTGACTAAAAAAAATGTGGTTGATCCCTCTTTTTAGGAATAAGTATGACACGACAGTGAAACGTGTCCTCGCCGAGGTAGTTGAGTATTAATTGTGAATTGTTTCGCCACAAGGGTGAAGGAATGAATGCTGCAGTAACAAATTGCAGTGTCACGCGAAGAAAGGCACGCAACTCGAAACTTGCAGCGCACACCTAGAACAGAAAACAGGCACAAAATGATCACGCACAGGATGAGCGCGGACAAATAGGCGTCACAATTCTTACTTCGTGTGTGAGCAGCGCCCTCCTTTCGTAAACGCGGCCGTGGCAGCGAGGGAATTGACGTTCGTGCTCTCTTTAACTTCTATAACTTCAAAGCGAATTTGCGGTGGAAGCACAAGAGGTACAAAGCACCCGAATCACGAGATAAGCGCGCGCGAGTGAGCGACCACGCCAGATAGCATCTATGCGTACTTTGACTACGCCATGTGGAGGCACGCGCGCACGGTGACTTGCGGGGTGGCGCGGCACGACGACCTTTGGAGCGCGCGCCCGTCGTGCCATCTCGCTACTGATTACTGAAACGCTCTGAAGTATCCGAGCTCTGAGGACCACCAGTGGTGAGGCGTATATAAATGGTTCGCTGTTAACGTTATCGAGAAGGGTTGTTCTGTGGTATAGCGATTAGCGTTGCGCGCTGAGATACGCGAGGCTGCAAGTTTGGCCCCCACTGTGGAGCTTCTCGTTTTAAAGGCAACAGTCTTTCTTGGGGACCTCCGACGCAAAAAATTTGGTCTGTCTGTCTGCCTGTACATTTGTCTGTTGGTCCACCCTTAACGGCACCCTAAAATGCACCGAAGTGACCGCACGATACCCCAAACGGTCGACCCCATCTGCAGCGCCCACCAATATTGCTCAAGGTTCAGCGTTCATACTTGTGCGATTGTCAATTAAAAAGCAATTATTGCCCATATATGCCGCACCATAACAACACGTCTCATTATTTTGTATGTATATCTTTTACTAGACAAGGCATACATCAGCAATTCTAAGGTGTCACAGAACGAGCGCTAAAAATGGGCGCGCCGCCAAATTCTTGCGATAACGCGCGGAAGAGACGCCGGGAGGTCAGAAGAAAAAAAAAAAAGAAAACAAACATACAAGGCTCCCCGGGCGCGCGCTCTCCCCTCGGAAGCGTGGCTTCGCCAACGAACCTCCTCACCCCACATCGGCGGCCGAGCAAGCCCGCGAAATTTCTAGAACGAAAGAGGCGGGGTCACGCCGGGTTGAGTCATCCATCGCGGAGGGCATTCCAATCGTCTCGCCCTCTCCCCAGCCTTCACTGCGTATCGCGCCGGCGAAATGACGAGAACTTTCTGGAATGTCGCGCGGAAGGTATTTAACCGAGCAGCCGAGATGAGAAAGCAGGAGAAGACGGAAGTTAGCGCCAGAGCGCGTAGGGTATCCCGCCGTGTAGTCGGCGAAGGTTTTGTCCGTAGGGACAAAGCAGGAGAAGAAGAGGATTTCCACCTGAGGGGTGAAGGCTCGAGCTACAAGCAAGAGCGTGTGTTTACCGCTATCGAGCGAAGACGCGTGGCAACAGCTGCGTGTGTGAAGCCGACGTGTCCGGCGAAGAAGTTTGAAGCTTGGAGAGTGGCCTATTGAAGACGTGAGGTTTCCTGGAAGAGAAACTTCGGCGAGGGTTCCTGGAAGAGGAAGTTCAGGGGACAGCGGAATGACAACAACGCTGGACTGTGAGTGAGTGATTCTCGGAAGAGTATCATCCAGACTTTTGTTCCAAGAACTTTGGACTGAATAGGTTTTCTATCTCTTTAGTCTCTAAGTGTCTTGGTTGTTCAATGCATGCGACTGCATTGTAGTGTGTATTGTTGTCTGTGTCCGTTGTTTCGAGTGTGGCTGATTGTACTGTGTAGTACGTTGTTTGGTGTGTGACATATTGTATGCATTTATTGTGGAGTGTGTATTCTTGTGTATTGTTTTCGATCTGCCATTATTGAGAATATAATTTTGTTTGTTTATCAACTCTCGGCTCTGACTTGTTCTTTGGGCCACAGCCGGCGTCCGCTGGCGCGCCAAAAAAGACCACTTCTAAATTGTCCACGCTTTCGTGGTGCGGTTCGGGGGGCTGATACTTCGGCCCTTGGAATTAGCCCGGCGATCGCCTCCCGAATTAACGGGACCTGTGTGACATAAGGACCGTAGCGTTTATCACGCTGCGCTGACCATGCAACGCTTGCACGAAAGGCAAGTGTTTCCAACGTTTTGCTAAGACGACACGGTGGCGGCACCTACCTGTTGCCTTGAGTTCTACACCTTATCACCTCCGAGACGGGTTTTCCAAGATAACTGCAAGATGGCGCTCATGTCTCACGTGTGACGTGACTTTATGCGCTGGTTCACCTCCGCTGCACGCTCGAGGTGCTCTAACGCAGTGCCTCCAGAATACCATTAACCGATTTTCTTGAGCAGAACATCAAATAAACGTTTTGTTCACTCTCTCCAGACGCAACACTATCATCTTTCGAGGACATTTGCAGTGTAAGATGAAGATACGGGGCCAATTTTTTTTGCAGTCTGTCAGTAAATATTGGCAACGTCATATCCATGACAGAAATACGTCACAGAGCCGTGGTGGACTTCGGCATAAAACCCTTTCATGTTAAAAATTGTTTCGTGAGCTAAATAATTAGGACAGCCTTAAAAGTAGTCTAGCAGACAATACAGACCTGTAGCATCTTTAAAGAATGGCTTCGAGTCTTGCCGGCATCTTCACGCGTCAGTCAATATACGAGAAGCAGTGAAGTTCTCTTCGTTCTTTTTTTCTCTTTCCTTTTGTTCCCAACAGAATGACTAGTGATGCGCAACAAAGATGAAAATGATCGGAAGGTCTTTAATCAATTTTTATCACTTACAGCGCAGCACTGAAACCTAACAAACATGGGTCGCGGTAGCGTTCTGTCACTGGACGACAACGTGTGCATGCACACTCAAGTGTGAGTGCTTGGAGAAACATCATGGGAATGTGTGAAATGTTCGTGAAAACACATTTGAGAGACACATTCCTGTCGAGACGTGGCGTGCTTGATTGCGGGTCTCACGTACCAGAACAACGATGACGAGGAAAAAGAAAAAGAACATCCGCTTACTGATGGCTTCACAAACACCACCTTCAATGAAACAGCCAAGGTGCTTACATTTGTTGTGCAAAAAAAAAAAAAATTCCAATTTCGCACAATGTGGTGAAATGTGCGTTACCGCACTAGGGATTCAGCTATTAACTTTACTTATATAGTTAGAAGTAACAACGAACCGCTGTACTCTTGCACAAATCACATGTTCAGGGTGTCTTGGAACCACGTCTGACACCACGCTTGACAATTTGCACAGCACTCGTAAAGATGAAGGGGAGAGAAACAATTTTATTAAAGTGAAAAATAAATTTGGCGGAAGTTAGGCCACCACCTCATTGAATTGCCCGAAGCACACAACACCAGGGAAACGTCGTGTGAACTGCACTGCAGTGTTAGCTTGCGCTAACAACGTCCACGAAATATACGCCGAGTGGGTCGTTGCACTGCGACATTTGAACGTAATGAATGGAGATGTGAGTGTGCTCTAAAGTGTGACGTAGCATTTCTTCCTGCACCAGAAGAACCAGATCTTACCGGTAATCCTCGAGGAGCATTGTGTGAATGGCGTACAAAGGTGGTGGTGGTGGTGACATGCCTTACCGCAACACGTGGTGGGTGGCTGTGTGTGAATTCCCGGATGAAGTGCCATGCGGACATTTTCAACAATGAACAAGTGAATCTGTTTAAATGGTTCGTGTTACGCGTGCCACGATGAAGAAAATGGTGCACCAACTAACCATCCAGTATAGTCAGGAAAAAAAAAAAGTTGCACCCACGAGGATACACGACAAAGAAAGTGTGCTCCATTGGTAGTGCAGCCGAAGCTCGCTATAACGAAGCCGTGATATCCGATATTCTTATAAGCGTTTATCGTCAATTGATGGCATAGTCGGCAAACAAGTTATAGGCTTACTCGTTCGTATCCGAGAATTGAGTTTTACCAACGAACGTTATATCGAGTATCGACCACATATGCTGCCGTTCGTCGC